TAGGGCATGTATGGTCAGATTGTATCAGAGTATAGTCAAGATGATAGTTTTTGTTTGCCTGAGCCAATTAGGAGGGACAAGATCCCACTCCTTTCTCTCCTTTCCTCCTGCTTAATTAACTGAATGCAAATTATGGTATTTTTGCATGTCTAACTCAATTCACAGCTATGGAAACTAAGGCCAAAGAGAAAAAGTGGGAAGAAGATAAATAAATGAGATATTTGAAAAATGGGATGTCAGAGAATGAATTGGAACTACCACTGCCAAACTGGAACAGTTGGAAAAATATGCCCCAGTAGTCTGACAGTGGCACAGATAACAGAAAGATCAAGTCAATTGACATGAGTGTTCTCTCTAGTTCGAGGCCTTCAAGTGAAGAGCCAACAGCCATTTATTTAAAATGCTCTCATTTTGAGTTACCTGTACCAAAGAGGAGGCTGGACAAGAAGCACACAGGAAACAAGAGGGTAGGGTTCATGTACTTTTAATAGTTGTATAAATGAAGGGGTGCCAGCAGGTCAAACTTGCACAGAAGCACACCATTGGCTTTAACAGCTGAGGAAATCTCGAACATCAAACTGGAAATGGTAGTAACATCCCCCAAGCTCTGGAAGTAAAAAAGATAGAAATCTCTCCCTTGCTCCAACCCTATAATTTATTACTATTCAGAATAGAAAACTAATAAAATATAATATAAATAGACAAAGCATGCTATATTTGAACACACAACATATGGTAGTATTTTTATCACTGGATTCTGGTAATCTGAGCTTTTGACTTTCCCTTTTCAATGTTTCAGAAACCCTCTGTATAAAACACAACTTTCCACTTGGCAGTTGTTCATTGTTTATTCGATATGTACAAACATACAGAGAGGATGGAGAGAGAGGAGATACACACACACACATGTGCTGGGTGCTATACAAAAGGTGCTATAAAATTATCAGAATTAATCTTATCAATAGCATGCTATGGCTCTTATATCCATAGCAGCAGCACTTGCAATTTTACTTACCCATATTTTTTAAAAAAATGTCTTTAGGTATTTGTCTTCCCGCATATATCTACTGCATGATTCCTTCAGAAGTTGATTGTAGAGTTGGGCTGGACAATCTAGAAATGCTAGAGAAGTGCTCTCTTTAGGCATTTTCTGGTCTTCCTAATCTGATTCTATGGTATGGTTCCTTTGGAAGTTGCTCATCTCAGTTGGGTTCACTATTATCTGTGGTTTCATGTTTCCACATCAAGCCCTGGAACATATGACCCCCAGATATGGAGCTTGTACTGGATCTAATGTAGGAATGGCCCGTCATCCAAAACAACATCCAGCTGGTATGATTCACTAAGTCAACCAGTCATAAGTGATTTAATGTTGAGCTAGAATAAAGAGAGCTTATTTTGTTGATGCCAGTTCAGATATGCTGCCCAAACATGGTAAAGCATTATTGTCCAAGGTTGTCCTGTACTCTTCTCTCTTCCCCCTTCTCTTGTGTGTAATGATTTTGTCTGTATTTTTGATCTGAGTAAAAGCCACATTCTGATCTGATTACTATAGTTTCACATTGGCCCTACAAACCAAGATTGGAAACCAGGTGTGACTGTAGTTTTCAGTACACATTTGTCGAGCAAATACAAACCATTGCTTCCTATGCTGGTTTACCTAAACTGGAGAAAGATGTAATAGGCACATAAAAAGAGAAGTAAGGGAGAACACATGAGTCTAATAGTCCAGCTAGACTCATGGACATAGTAGGAAAGCATAGCCTGCCCTTCTATCTGAATGGATAAAGCTGTAACTAATCAATGAATGCTCCCCGCTAACAAGCACAACAGTCTGTTAAAAAAAGAGTGGGGCAAGACAGATGGTTATAGCCCAGTTAAGAGAACAATTTGACAGCTGTTTTATACTTTAGGAACTTAGTTATGTGGGAAATGGCACATTTGGCCACAAGAATTCTTGAGGGTTGGTTTTCAATAAAAATTCTATTTAGAAGCTAAGACATACTTCAAGCTATTAATACCCCCTTCTAAAAAGCACGATCAATAAAGCACAATGGAAAAGGGAGATTTAGTGGTTGCAGTCTTAAGTCCTACAAGCTTGGCCTTCAACTAACAATATTTTTGCAAAAGCCCTATAGATGAAATAACATTGCAGTATTGTTGTCTATAAAAAAATAGGTTACTAAAAAGATACAGTATGGAGAATAAGATACTATTACTTACCATAAATGGAATGTTTCAACAAAATTTTTATTAAAGTATACAAACTTTCACTCCTAGTTTTTCCACTCCAGTTGTGGTTACTATACTTACTATTTGCCTTCTATATGGCTTTTTAAAAATGGTTTTTTTAAATTTATAAAAATGACAGTCTTTGTATAACCCCTGAAGTGATCATTTTTGAGATGTTTGAGAAATGGCATAGGGACATAAGTAAATTTGTGTGGTTGGGGAAAAAACATAGAATAAAGTTCATAAATTTAATAGATGATAAAAATAGAGGGGGACTTGCATTGCCCAACCTTCAGTTATATTATGATGCGTCAGCACTCAGCTGGATAAGAGACTGGTGCCTCATAGACAATAAAAGAAAATTACTCACATTGGAGGGCCACGAACTGACACAGGGGTGGCACAGTTATGTATGGAGAGGGAAATCTAAAACAGAAAGAAACTTTAAGAACCACTTCATAAGAGCAGCTCTCATACAAACCTGGAATAAGTACAAAGAAAGATTTTACAACAGAACTCCAATGTGGTACTCACCAAATGAAGCAATGCACATGCGGGAAATCCCTCGAGAAAAATGGCTGAAATATAACCAAATACTTAAAATAGACAAACAAATAGTAAATATTAAATCACAAGAAGAACTAAAAACCATGACCAATCTCTGTCATGGTTCCAGTGCTGGCAGATAAAGGAAAGCTTTCTGATCGATAGGAAGGTTGGCTTCGAAACAAAGGAAGTATTTTGGGACAAAATATTAAAGACAGAATCTAAACTAATTTAAAAAATGTACTCACAACTGCTGAGATGGGAAACAGAGGAGGAACAAGTGAAAGAAGTTATGCTCGATTGGGCAAGAGATATAAGCAGATCATTCAGCTTAGTAGAATGGGAAGAGATCTGGACAAAAAAAAATTAACATACTCCACGGAATTTAGAGAGAACTGGTACAAGATGTTCTTCAAGTGGTACCTGACACCAGAGAAGCTAGCAAAAATTAGTAAAGGAAGAACAAGCGATAAATGCTGGAAATGAGAAAAAGAAGTTGGCACATTCATCCACGTGTGGTGGAAATGTAAAAAAATCAAGGCCTTCTGGAGGGAAATCCACGGAAAGATGGAATGGATTTTACAAATAAAATTTGATATCAAACCGGAATATTTCCTATTAGGCTTAACTGATTTTGAAATGGACCAAAACACAAATAAATTATTTATATACCTTATAACAGCGGCCAGGATAAAAATTGCACAATTATGGAAAACTAAGGAAATGCCAACTATAGATAACTGGCTATTGAAAATCTGGGACATTATGAGCATGGACTTACTTACCCAAAGAATAGCGGATAACAATTTTAGGACACAAAAAACAAATTGGGAAAAATTCACGGAGTATATAAAGAATGAGAACCCAGAATTAAACTGGCAATAGAAAGGAAAATGAAGGCAAAATAAGAGATAAAGCAACCGGAGTCAACCTGGAAGTCATCTTACCCTCCTCTTCAGTTTTACTTCCCCACCCCCCCCTCATATATTTCTTTTTTTTTGCTCCCCCTCTCCTCCCTTTCTTTACCTTCCCTGTATTTCCATTTCCTACTGTCCTACTGTCCTAATACCAATTGTTCCCACACTTTCCCTGTATCCTTTGGAGTCTAAATTTTATGTGCATTGGAAAAACCAATAAAAATATTTTTTTAAAGTGATCATTTTTCTTTTCTTTTTTGCAATTAATATCATTAAATAGATATTAAGATTTTAATATTCAGCACAGTACAGTGGTCTATGCATTATACTATGATTCTAGGATCTGCGGTTCAAATTACTGTTTAGCCAAGGAAAACTATGGAGTGACCTTGGGCAAGTCATATTCTCTTGGCCTCGGAGGAAGGTAATGACAAACCCAGCTCTGAACAAATCTTGCCAAGAAAACCTCATGATAGGGTCAACGTAAGGTTGCCATAAGTCAGAAAAGACTTGATGGCACACAATAATGACAATTCATAGTTTGGCTTGTTGTAGGTTTTTTCGGGTTATATGGCCATGTTCTAGAGGCATTCTCTCCTGACATTTCACCTACATCTATGGCAAGCATCCTCAGAGGTTGTGAGACCCTACAACCTCTGGGGATGCTTGCCATAGATGCAAGTGAAACGTCGGAGAGAATGCCTCTAGAACATGGCCATATAGCCCAAAAAACCCTACAACAACCCAGTTATTCCAGCCATGAAAGCCTTCAACAATAAATTCATAGTTTGCCAAAACATACAGAGTTAACAACACATAGTTCATGTGATTTTATTTTAATGTTACAAAAAAGGAACAAATATATTACCAACCCTTCTTTAAAAAATAAACAAGAACAAATACTTTAAGAATATTTCATCTTTTACAACTGTTTTTCAAATGCTACATTTTTAAAAAATGTATGCTTGAGAAATGATTGCTGATAATACTCTGATACAGAATCATAGCAGACTTGTATGCAAAATAGAGCTAGATTCAACTTTACTTATTCTTACAAACATTGAACAGCACAATTTATATGGGTTTTAAATATGCAACCCATAAGAGGGTGCTTTACATAAGTTTTCATTTTAAATATAAATTGGATTCTAAAACTTCATGCTGTTGTTTTTTTAAAAAAATTATTTAAACTAAAGGATAAATATTAAAATCCTAAAAGCTTTCCCTTGTATGAAATGTAACCATCTGTGTTCTTAGCAAAATATGCAAACAGGATGATTTCCTTAAAAATCAGTATCTCCCCCCCCCCCCTTCACTTTAACACCTAGGAGCACAATGCAAAATCTGCTTGGATTAGGAAAGTGAAGTTTGCCCCCTTCCCTCTGATGACTATAATAAGACACCAGGTTTACGGGAAGGCTACTGTACATTTTACCAGTATCACGCTGATATTGTGCGAGTTGCCTATATGCTATCTGTATGAAAATTTGCACTGCACTGAATTTGCAGTGCAGATCGATTAGCTATTTTTGTTCAGTGCCATATTGATTAGGCACATCTGACATATTGTTTAGGAAATTGCTACTTAAACATATTAAATAAGCTGCACAATCATATGAGCTGCCTTCACACCGTCACACCTGAAAGAAGACGTAATGCGTAACATACAGTTACTATAAGGAAGCACTCATAATAGTTTTACAGCATCCTTGGTTTGTTGCCTCTCCTTGACCACACTCACTAAAATGGTGTTATATGACCAACATAGTTTATTTTATGTTTTTTTTAAAAAAAAACGTATGCTAGATACTGTCATTTGCTTCTTTGAAAATTACAGATCTCTCAAAACCTTCCCTTCTTCCTCATCATCACTATCAGTCACATTGACTTGCTGTACACTGGAAGGTGTGGATGGAGTTGCAGTAAAAACATTCTCAAGGGCCCCAATGTCCAACTGTGGCATTGGGTTTAAATATTCTTCTTCAGTCTGACTGTGACTGCTATAATAGGATGCCCCTTCCAAGCTCTCGCAGCTCCGGGAGTCTTCATTATGCGTATGCTCATCAGGGTATTCTCTAAAAGGATAATCTCTGTTCAGAGCTGAAAACATTGCCTCATGCTTTTGATACTGGTCTTCATAGAAGCCTAGGCATTCAGGCATGGAGCTGGGGAAGTTCCCATAGCCAAACGGAGGACGACTGTACGGACACGTGCTGCAGAAAAAAACAGAAAACACAAAGGTTTTTGCTATAGAAATGAAATAAAGAACAGCCTATCTTTAAGTCTAGAAACCAGCTGCACTAAAACAGATTCCCTTTGGTCATAGGCACAAGTCATAAATAAATATCTAAATAAACAGGCCATAAATCAATCAGAAAAATGTGACAGAGTGGCACAAAATAGAATATTTTCTGTGGTATATACCAGTTTGTCAGAAGACTTTAACTGGCCCTAGCCAAACAAACAGTGGCAAGACTACTCACCTACTTGTCCATCAATTAATTGTTATTATTTTAATAGTTTTTAATACAGATCCTTTTATTTAATAAATAATCCAATGCACATAAGATGGTTCATACAATAGAAAATAACGAAACATTAAATAAAGAACTTAAAAATCAACAAAATCCATATTGGAGTAAGTGAGTTTGTTAATTTTCTATATCCAATAGAGGCAAAATACATATACAAATGAGCACTGAATTGACCTGCTGAAACTCTGCAAATGAAATATTTCACAAGATGGATGACCTATTTCTTCATAACATTTGGCTAAGCCTCTGTAGACAAGACTTATTGGTTTCCAGGTCATATTAGGCTGCTTCTAGACAAAATGTTCCTAGGACTGACTAACAAATATTGTGTAGCTCTCTAAGTCTGTACCAAACTTTGTACAAAGGCAAACCTATAGAAGCAATGGTGGAAAAACATAGAATTGGTCTAAGTGGGAGATGATCCCTTGTAAAATTCCATGAATGAGAAAGGACAAGATCATAAAACAAACAAAATGAAACCAACCATCAGAAAACATTCCTACTCTTACAGCAAAAACAGCAGAAACCTTGTAGGTCCTCCCAGATCACCAAATTTCTTGTGGCATCCCCTTCTATGAGGCCCAGTGTGATGTAGTGGGTTGAACAATGGACAACTATTCTGGAGGCCAAGGTTCAAATCCACTTTGCTCAGGCATGGAAACCTACTAGGTGTTCTGCTGCAAGTCATATTCTCAGCCTCAGAGGAATATAAAGGCACTCTCCCTCTGAACATGGAAAGGAAAATATGAAGAAAGAATAATCTCAGAAATTTGAGGTCAGAAAGGAGAAAATCAGAAAAAGGAAGCAAGTTGAGCAGCTACGCATGTCTGTGTGGGTATGTGTGTGTTTGTGATTCCTTTTATGAAAAATTGTCTATGGCTACATAATAACTTTCACTTTATGTAAATAACTGTATTACCTTGATGGGAAATAATGGGGTCCAGGTAAAAAGTAAGGATGATGAAACGAAAACCGAGGAGTTGCTCCAAACAGAGTGGCTGGATGACCAATGGGAGGAGGCTGATAAACATGGGGATGTGGGATGGGGGGGGCTTGAGGAATGGGTCCATTTCTAGAACAAGAAGAAACACCTGAGTACTCCTTAGGGGGTTGACTATTTGAGACACTGTATCTGGAATGTGCAGTGCTTGTATTGTTCAGGTTCCTGCTCGCACTCTCTATGGAAATCTGATTGGGTCTCTTTATAGAGCAATTTGTTCCTGAAGACACATGGTGAGCTTCTGTTGGTGAAGGTGCAGCAAAACGTGGAGGCTGAAGCACTGGACGAATTGGAAGATTTCCCGTTGGGGCAGCCAGTGGAGTTGTGCTTCCCACATTAGGCTGGAACAGCGTAATAGGGCCTGGATGCTGAACAGAAGGAGTTGGCAACTGGATCGTAGAAGGGGCTTCACCTTTGGAGATGAGAAATAATCAGTCATAAAGGTTAGAAGTTCCCATTTTATTTAATTCTTGATAGCACAAAATACTAATTTCTAAAATAAATGTATAAAATGTACTTTAACATATTAAAAACATAATTTATCCCTCTATATTTCTTTTTCTGTTAATTAATATTTGTAATTGGTCAATGTTTGCAATAATTTTGAATAAAACAGCTATAGGACTGTTAATGTTATTGTTGTTATATTTAATTATGGCCCAACTTTTCTAGGGGTTGGGACACAATGTTGCACTCCAGGTCCAGAAGAAGCCCTTTGACTTAAAACACATCACACGAAGCGTGAAGAATCAAATCTTCTTTTATTGAAGCTTAGTAAATAGCTAGAATAAATAAATGATTGTAAGAAAATCAGAAGGTTCCAAAAAGTATTAGTCCATAAACAGTAGTAACCCAAAGCAATGTCCACACAAGAAATACAGGCAATCCAAGACAACATTAATCCAGACAGGAATCAAGCAGGATGCAAAGACAATCCAAAAGGCTAAAAAACTCCACAGAAGCAAAATCCCTTGAACAAGACTTCCATGGCACAAGAACTTGGTTTCCAAATGATGCCTGATCTGACAAGATTTCCTACAGACAAACCTTAAATCCTCCAAACTGGTTTCGTTTTCCCCCAGTCTTTGACCTTAACTAATGAATTCTTTTGGATCTATGTAAACATTGGGCCTCTTGTCGATTCTGGCTAATCTCCAGCCACCGACTATGCTTATCTGACTCCTCGTTAACTTTACCAGGTGTCAGACTGTTTTCCAAACTAGAATCTGGAGAGCTCACAGACGGAGGGAGTAAACCTTTCTCCCAAGGCCTGACAGAAACATTCTCATGAGAATCTGCCCTTTGCACCAAAACCTCTCTGTCAGTGCCTGCATGAAACTCATTGACCAAAGTGTCTCCATCTTGCACCTCAGGGTCAGTCCTAGCATCCCCCACATCAGAAGCAACAGGGGACTGATTTTCCTCCTCATTCCCCACATCAAACACAGAAACATCGGGAGACTGAAACACATTCACAGGTTCAAGCCCAGGCTCAGGTTCAATCACAGGCTGAGTCCAAACACACAAAGCAGTTCACAATAGTTAAAACATGTACCATCATAAAATCACTGCACACAAAAACAAAAAAAAATTATTCAAATAATTATTATCAGAAACTTAATAATAGTCAGAAACTTAAAACCAGTTAAAAATAAACTATTTCAAACAAAACTATTACAACATAAATATAACTCCTGTACATTAGGTCTGTTTCTGGGAAGGGAGTTCCAGAGCCTGGTAGCAGCTCCACATGTGAAGCTGGTAAAACAGAAAGAAGGGTTCCCCCTAAAGATCTCAATACATGATTCATGTAGTAGATGTTTGGGTGTTTGCATTTTTAAAAATTATTTTCATTTACATAATGAGATATCTTGGAGATGAGACCCAAGTCTAAACATGAAATTCATTTATGTTTCATATATACCCCTTTTTGTCCCATGCACAAAAATACTATTTCATATAATAATTTTGAGCATGGAAGAAATTTTCTGTATATTGAAACATCAGGAAGCAAATGTGTCAGTCATGTGGACAATTTTGGATTAAAGAGGATTTAGGATTTCCAGATAAGGAATACTCAACCTGTACTAGAAGAAGATAGCACAGTCTTGGAACTACTACTGAAGAAAGTTAAGAAAGAAACTACAAAATTAGAGTTACAGCTTAACATTAAGAAAAAGATTATGATTTACATATTTGAAAGTGTGTAATGAAGACATCAGAACTGGTGAAAATCTTCAACACCTTGGCTTAGTCATTAATCAAAGCAGAAGCTGTAGCAAAGAAATAAGAAAAAGACTAGACATGGAAGAGCAGGTATGAAGGGAACATATAAAATCCTCTAGAGTAAAATTTATCATTAAATCCCAAAATCAGGATACTCAGAAATACTATGGTATGAATGGCACTGAATGATGTGAAAACTAAACAGTGAGGACAGTTGATAGAAAGAACTTATTCAAAATATGGTGCTGGAGGTGGCTTCAACAAGTACTACAGACTGTGAAAGGAGGAAATAAATAGTCTGATAGCAAAGCAAGCCTGAATTGAACTGAATATCAAGAAAAATGGAAGGCAGTAGGAAAAGAAGACCAATTTACAGATGGATTAATTCAGTGCACTAAACTACTGCCATGGGTTTGTAAGACAAGGGACGATTTTACATTGACAAGTAAAGAGGGCCTGATCTGTTGTCGAAGATGGTTTGGCATGGCTGGGCAGAACCCCAATTGCCACCCCTAGTGCTGCTGCTGGCATAGCCATCTACGGGTTTTTTGAAATCTCGTGTTTTGAAATCTCGTGTTTATTCTCTTTCCTACAACTGGGTCGTGTGAACTGTGAGTGGAGATGTGAGGAGGGAGAGAGGAAAAACTACTACTGGGTTGTGTACGCCCTTCTCACATCCTTCTTTGGGTCACACAACCCAGTAGTAGGAAGGAGAACTCTCTAGGATCAGGTAGGTGGCCATGTTGCTGTTGTAGCCACAGTATTGGAAAAGGGGGAATGGGTTCAAGGTGTGTGGTATGGCTGTCAAGACAGCTGCAGCCAGTTCCACTTAGGACCCTAACTCGGGGGAATTCTTGTTTGAGGATTATCCCCAAAGTTAGATTAACCAAGGGTAAAGCTCTGTGCGGTGTTTAGTTGTCACAGGGCTAATCACTTTCTAGACTGACCTGAGTGGTCAGTAAAGAGAGGCCACAGCCTCTGAGAATATTTAAATTCATCTTTTTCGGATGTAGTATAAATATAATTCTCTAGACTCCTATTCCAAATCAAGTCAAGAATGGAAATTGAACAAACTCAATGCAAGACACAAAATGCCTGTTTACCCTGACCAGAAGCCCTTAAGCGGCTGAATGTTCATATTGTCCAGAGACCTCTGTCCCATAATATGGTGTAAAGCCAGGTAACTCAATCATAACCAATATTAGGAGAACAGCCCTACATGTTGGGCTGGTTAGTGTGGACAGCTGGACCAACTCGAAAGGGCTACTACCACCATCCTCTTTTTCCTGTGCTCTGTGGCATGGGAAAACAGGATGGAACTTACCTGGCCTGCTTTTTTTTTCTGGATACAGTGGCAGCTAGCCATAGAGCATGGGATAGCTCCTGGCTGTCACCAGGTGCTTTGTATGCACCAAAAGCTCTCAGAAGTTTCATGACTGGCTGCAGTGGCAACAAAGGATAGCCTAGTTAAGGATGATCATCCAGCATGGCTAAACTAGGTTCAGCCTGACTGGATGGTCTGGACTCCACTCTCACTACTGCTACAGCTCTGGAGTGGAAAGCGTAAACAACTCTGCTGAATTCAGGGCTTCTCCAATAGTGATGCTTTGGACCTCTCCTGGATTCAGTTGATGCGTACATGATCCAAAGTCTCTAGTTTCCCTCTGCAAAGCAATAATTATTTTATATTAAATAAAATTCCAGCTTTTTAACCCACCTTCATGTCACAATCTAGCTCTGTGATCAAGACTGCTTGCAGACAAGGGTTTATTGTGGTATCACTATAGTTCACTCGCACACATTTTAAGTCAATTCACACAGAGCCATTATCCAGTCATGACCCGCCTATCTTTTTTGCAGTCCTTCTTCCATGATATTTCCTAGTAGCAAATACCATTGCGAAATACACTTGGTTCTGAACTCTCAGACATTCTAGTGGGCACGTTTACACATGATAACATGAGGAAGAGAGCAATTACTTCTGCCAGGACCTACTGCCTTGAGTTGCCTATGCAGTTTTGAAGGCAGAATTCTTCAAGACAAAAGAACCTTGATGCAGCAGCTCCTGAAGGGTTATTGCCTTTTCTGACAGGAAAGGAAGTGGTATGGCCAGAGTCAACTCAGTTGAAAGGCACTGACTCAAGATGCCTGGCGACAATGTATTTTAGATGCAGTCTTTGAAATATAGCTGGGATCAGGAGAGGCTGGTAGAACACACAGTCTGAAAGATCTTCTAAGTTGTGAGGAAGAACTTTTATTTCTTCACTGGAGCTTTAAAAACCATGTTCAGTCTGGAGAAACACAGTGCATAGATAGAGCAAAGCAGGAGTGCCTCTCTTTTTTCTTCTGCATGAAGCCAATAAAAGATGGAGATGGAGAGGGGTGAGCTGGAAAAGGATGAAAAAGTTGTTCCCTTATACACCCAAGAGTCCATTAGTAAGGGCAAGATATTATTTTAAGGATCACAAAGTATATCTTGCACTGTTATAAAGAATCATACTCATAACTGATTGTGCAATTGCCAAATAATAGTTACATGTAATCATATATAGTCTTTGTCAATGAATTTTACTTTATATTTTGTTGGTAATATTTTACTGTTTTCAACTTTTGTACTTGATCATACTTACTATAAACAGATTGAATTTTGTAGTTCTTATCATCTAAAGAACTCACATAAACTATTGGAATGAACTCACAGACTGGGTGTCCAATGCTGTTCTGCACGTTCGGTATCACCACAGAGTAGGTGGGTGATCGGAAAGGGTAAATAGTAGTTGGGTTTGTAGTAATAATATTCTGAGATGTTCCAGTAAAGACAGTGGAGGCAGTCATTGGACTTGTAGCAATGATATTCTGAGTAGTGCCAGAGAATACAGTGGATACCGTTAATGGGAACCGCTTCCTTTTGCCTGGACGTGGTTGGTAAACCCAGCCTGTGGGAAAATAAAAGACTATGTTCACTGGTTTACTGCTATTAAAAACCCATGTAATTATGCATATTTAATTACTAAAACTGATAAAATGTTAATTATAAGAAAAAGGTATGGAAAGTGAACTTTTTAATACTGTTTATAGTTAATCATGTTTTAATATTTGCATATTTGCATATTTTAAATTGTATGCTGATGCTTTTATGTTAAGCCACTTTGAATCTCCTGCAGGAGATATAAAGTGGGGTTATTATTATTATTATTATTATTTTACTGATACAAAACCACAGTATGTCACAGCAGAAGGGATCTATATGCTGGGATTATTATTATTATTGTTATTATTATTATTCCTCTTTACATAGTCTTGGATAATATATGAAGTGCTTATAAATGAATAAGTTGCTAATTGCAGCATGTTTAGGAAAGCTTTGCAGACTCTCAGAATGGGGAATATTTTTCTAGATGCAGCTCTTCCCTTTCCATTTTTATATATATTAGTCACTCCAATATGTCCTGTCTAATTCTTTACACATCAATAAATTATGTTTTAGTAATTTACTTCATGCTAAAGAAACAGAAGTCAATTTAGCAAATGCGTTTTATCAATGTATAATTAGTACTCTGATCATTAATATATGCACTGATTGTTACAAAGGTCTGAATTTTCACTTCACCCTATTCACCCTAAATTTGCATTAAAGGGTTGGGGGGGGGGGGATCCTATTCAACAGATATGATATTTGGAGTGCTTTAGGGAGTAGAAAGGCAAGATCCGTGGATAGAAATGCATACTTGTCTACTATTGGATAAACCCACAGCAAATTGATAAACTTGAGGTAGGAAGTTTGGGAAAGGCCAGCAAAATAAATCATCCTTGGATTTGCCATAGCAAAAACATGCTTACATATATTATATTAGGCAAAGCCCATTTTGCCCATATTACTTTCTACTATTTAATTATTTTAAAAATAATATTAGAAGAAGTAGCAACAAATATCTATACAACAGATGGTGGAACCTTTCCCACACTGTAGTCCTGATATCTATAGCAATAATCCTGAATATCTATTAGAAACAAATTGAAAAACAATACTGCAAACAATATTAATTATGTCTGGTTGCACTTGTGTATGTGGTTACATATTTTAATTGTTGCACAGTTACTCTTCATTCTGTAGAACTTTGCCTGATGAGGAGATGAGTGCAGACTGAAATGGGCTGGTTCTTAGTATCATTTGCTTAAAGAAATCTGACCCTGTACTAGCTGTGTGCCTTCAATTCATTTCTGTCTTATGCTGACCACTGGGCTTTCTTGGCAAGATTTTTCAGGCAGGGTTTGCCTTTGCTTTCATCTCCCTGAGGAGGAGAAAGTATGGCTCACTCAAGGTCACCCAGCAGGACTCCATGGCTCTGTGGGGATTTGAATCCTAGTCTTCAGCTGAAGTCCAATGCTTAGACCACTAAACCATGCTGGTACCCAGAATTAAGTTGTAGAAAGGCATATATGCATAATCTATATATCCAATAATTATAGATTTTATAAAGCAGCTCCTTACAAAGTACTGCCAAAGTGATTTTAAAAATGTCAGACCCTGAGAAGAATGGGAGGGAAGGGATTATTTTCTGTGTACAGATGTGTGACAAAACTGGCATCTATAAAGAAATCTGTCTCACTGTTTCACCTGTATTTTCTGTCTATGATTCTAATTTTTTTTGTACATCACTTGACCCTGTTTTAGAATGTTTTACCATGACAAGTAGATGTTGGGAGATATTTTTTAAAAATTATACCAGGAAATTCTTCTCTGTGTTTTTCTTTAATCTTCTGAGCTTCATCATAATAAGGTTTCTTCTGTTCTTCTGTGAGCTTATTCCACTCTAATCCAAGCTGAACACTTATTTCTGCATTATTGGCAGCAGGATTAGCTTTGGCTAAAGCTGGCCGGTGAATCCTTGCCCAAACCATGAATGCATTCATAGGACGCTTGACATGGCCATCTCTGTCTTTGCTAAATGGAGTATCTGGTATGCCTACAATGAATAAATATGGATTAATGTGTTAAGAAGCTTAATTATTGTTATACTGGATAACACAGATCATACTCAAAAGGGAAGTATATGCTAATAATATCAGATTCGTTGAATATACATTGCAGAATTAAAAGGCCATGAATCGATTTATATTAATTCACAGAACTTTTAACTAGTTGTGCTTGAAAAGCAACTCCTGCATAGCACATCATGAACTGTTTTGTAGACTACAGTCTTAAAATCCAATATGGTGTTTTTGTATATCAGTTGTTTAAAGACAAATATTAACCCCTTGCCTCAGTTATTTTAAGGCTCTTACATACACTTCTTTGATTAATTTGACAAATTATTAAGAGATCAATTATTAGATGACTGTGCGTACAACTTTCCCTTTTTCAGATACTACCTCATTAACAGTGCTACAAGCCTATATGTGCTTAGTCAGAAAACTCTCCTGCTGTATTCAGTGGAATTTATTCCCAAGGAAGTGTGTTTAGGATTGCATGCTAGATTTCTAAATGGAAATTATTTTAACAATAAAATCAAATGAACACGAGATGTGATCAAAGTTAGTTTGGTCCAGTTAGTGAGTGAAAATGGCTTGTTTAAGGGGCTGCTTTGGGTAGAAAGGGGGAGGAGGGGGAGTTTCTATATCAACTCTGTTGAATGTGTAGGGGTCAGTAGTAAGGGTAACAAGAGGGGTCTTCAAAAGTTAGATTATGGCACCTTATGTGAGTGGAGTCCTCCTACCTATAAAAAGTAGCCTTTGATTTCAACTGAATCCAAATTTGAAATCTAATTTTCTTTCTGCTCTTGCAAATTCGATGAATAATAGTAGAAAAGGGGATGGTGATTTTGGGAAAGCATGGCTATATCTAGCAGATGAAAAGAATGGCACCCAATACTCTGGATGCCATTCTCTTACAATTTCTTGGCACAATATACAAACAATTACACAAAGATGTATTTACTTCAAAGATAATTATTCTAAGTTGAACAACATGTTATGAAAATGTTCCCATTATAACCCATTTGTTTAAATAAAACCTTGCTTAACCCCAGTATAATTAGTGGAATTTTAATATTGGAAGAGTTACACCTGAACTGTAATGCATACTGATTTTGAGACCCTCCTTTCCTGCTAATCATAACTAATAGTCCTTATTTTGAATTACTGATTTCTTTCTACTTCATAAACATATACAAGAACATGTTCATAATTATTTTAAGCAGAATATTATGTGTAGTTTTGCATGTTGCTGATAACTGGAGATTAAAAGTACTAATTTTCACTGTGCTTAGATAAACACCATGTGTCTGATGTAATCTCCTGGCAATGAGAAATGAGATACTAGGTAGATGAATATATGGCAGCCTTTCTCCACCACCCAACAAGGACCCCATCTTACAACTCACCTACCCCTAGAAGACAAATTCAACCATCCGCTTGTATGAGAGAAAGGTTATACTGTGAGACTTCGCTAAGGCTAAATTTGTTCTGATGCTATTGATTTTAAAAGCCATAGCTCCACCTTGTGTTATGTTTTTTGGTTACACTGCTTCCATATCCATGAGAACTCATTTTATAGTAAACCAAGATCCTCAATTCTACCCAGAGATGTATTATTACTATATCACATTGTCCCTTCAAATAAGAATTGCTGATTTATGGCAACCCTAAGTCAATCCTATCATGGACTTTTCCTGGAAAGATTTCTCCTGAAGGCTTTGACCATGGCTTTCTTCTCAGGCTAAGAATGTGACTTGCTCAAAATCACTCAATGGGTTTCCATAGCCAATTAGACATCTGCTTTGGTTGCCAGAGTCCTAGACCAACACCCAAATCACTACACTATGCGGGCTGTCCCTGTAGGCCTGTTGTTGCTGCTGTGTCAGGTTATTTCTGATTTATGTCAACTCTATCATGAGCTTTCGTTGGCAGAATTTGTTCAGAAGGGAGTTACTTCTCTCTTCCTCCGAAGCTGAGTGAATGTGACCTGCCCAAGATCACCCCTGGATTTCTGTGGCCAAGCAGAGATTTGAACCCTGGTCTCCAGAGTCACATTCCAATGCTCAATTTTATTTCCAATGCACAGAAGGACCATCCTGAATTTTATAGTATGTTTTCTATGTCAAATTTCAGATCAACCCACTGAGTCACATACTCAGTGTTGTCAACAATACGTATAATTTTATTTATAATAGCAGGAAGTAATTCATCCATCTTTTCCACAACATAGACTGCAGATATGACCCTATAATAACACTTCCTCTTTAACTATGCACAATGTTACATTTACTCACTCAACCCAAGGTAAATGAAATCACTATTTTTCCCCCCAAATTTAACTGCCCTGTTGTATCTTTTTTTTCTTGGCAACTGAAGATAAATATTCCAATTCTGGTCAGAAAAAAGTAGCACATTCCTATTGCAGTATTGTTACTGTTGAGATCAAAAGTTATTCTTTTCTGTAAATTTGTTTCTTTAACAGCTCTTCCAAATGGACAAAATACCATATTTGCTGCTATAGTTCTTGGTGTTTTGAACATGTTTGGCAGTGTAGATGGGGCCTAGATGTTTTTGGACCAAGCATGAGCTAACTTTGGCCCTCCAGCCAGTGGGCTGTTAGGGATTGTAGGAGTTACGTCCAAAACACCTGGAGGGTCAAAGTCTGCTCAAGCCTATGTTGGACTTTAGTTCCCTACATTCCTCACTCCTGGCATTGCTTCTTAAGCCTGGTGGGAGTTGCAGCCTGACTGCATCTGGAGAGCCGCTTGGAAGGGTTTGACTCCCACGGTTCAATAAGTCCTAAAGATCAAGGTGATACTTGACACCTTGTGAACTGATGGCACTTAGTTTTAACTACTGTTGTTTTAAAATTGTAGTATTTTGATGTTGTGCTACATGTGTTGAGGAGGGGGGTTGTTATAATTTTATGTGACTTGTTTTATACTTTTGTACTGTTTTTACCGCTTGTATGTCCTATGTGCACGCTGGAGTGCCTTGTAAGCGGCCCTTTGTAAGAGTCCCTTTGGGGAGATGGTGGCGGGATATAAACAAGTTTATTATGATCAATGTATCAAGGTGGGGCAACCTTTCTTTCTCCATCCCTCTCTGCCCACTACCTGCATCTGAGGGCAGCACTGTGAGAGGCACATCTTTAGTCTCAATTTTGACGGAGGGCTCCAGCAGGGACTGCATTTTGAGGGGCACTTGGGTGACGGGCACCTTGGTGACCCGAATGAGCTCAGGCGGTGGCGGGCCCTGGAACTGGATCCTGGCCCCGGGCGGGACCGGGTGGAGCGTCAGCGGGATCTTCAGCTCGGGCGGCGGCGGCGGCGGAGGAGGCGCCCCCGGGGGCTGGCTGGGCCGGGCCTCCTTGTGGGGCGCGGCGGGGCCGTTGGAGGGCGGCCGAGGCTCGGGCCCTTCCTCCCCCTCGGCCTTGAGGCTTCCCTCGGGCGGGTCCTCCAGCTCTGTCTTGATGCCCGGGTCTCTGGCCTGGCAGCTTCCCGCCTCCTCCTGGGCGAGGTCCTCCTCTGCTTTGACGCTGGGGCCAGCCTCCTCCTTGGCGCCCCGACGACCCGCGGCAGCCTTGTGCTCCCCCCTTTTCTTCTTGCTGCCAGTGCTGCCGCCCCCTCCTCCTCCTGCTGCTGCTGCTGCCGGCAGGAGCGAGGGGCTCTCTTGCTCTTCTGCCTTGACTTGCGGGCCCTTGGCCTCCTTCCCCTCGCAAGAAGGGCCGGCCTGCTGGGGCTGCTGCTGCCCTTGGGACAGCCCTCCGCCGGCTTGGCCATCCTTCCTGGGCGGCGGGGGCGGCTTGGCGGGGAAGAGGAGCAGGGCGGGCGCCTCCCGGCTGGCCGGCCCGGGCAGAGGCTGCAGGAGGAGGCGGTCCAGGCGGGGCGCGGCGCCTTGCCAGGCCGCCGGGTGCAGCAGGAGCCGGGCCGCCTCCCGGGGGGTTTCCTCCGGCGCCCCTTTCTCCATGCCGCTCAGCGGGATTGTTGCGGGATTGTGAGCTCAGCCCGCCCGCCTCTGTGACCCGGCGCCCGTTTGTCTCCTGCGGTTGGCGGGGGGGCCAACGTTCTCCGCTCCGGGACCCTCCCCCGCCCCTCCCCAAGGCCACGCGCCGCCGCCGCCACCGCCGCCTCGCGGGAGCCTCGCGCTGCCAAGGTGCGGGACCACGTGCAGGCGCGCCTCCCTCCTTCCCTCCATCCTTGGACCCGTTGCCTAGCCGGCGCTATGGTTACGCCGCCCGCCGCGTCACAATCGGGTCGCCATGGAGACCACGCTCTCCCCGGGAGCCCCTTCCAGGTTCGCTCGCGCTCCTTCCTCTCCCTTCACAGAATCCTGGCGCTGGGAAAGAGGCCCCGAGGGTCATCCAGCCCAACCCCATTCCGCCCATCCAAGCACTCCCCACACGTGGCGCTCCAGCCTCGGCTTGACTGGCGAAAGGGGACTATCAAAGCGATACAGGGCCTGGAGCTTGGTATGTTTACCCTGGAGAAGAAACGGTTAAGACCAGTCATGATAGCCATGCTTAAAATGTGGAAAGATGTCTCCTTGAGGAGGGGGCATGCTTGTTTGCTGCTCCTCAGATGGAGATTAAGGGCGTATTTACACGGCAGCGGTTTAAAGAGCAGGGAATGTTTAGCCTGCAGAAGAGAAGGCTCGGGGTCCGTCCACACAGCCATATAACCCAGAATATCAAGGCAGAAAATTCCCACATTATCTGCTTTGAACTGGGGCCGCTTCCACACAGCCATATATTTATTTATTTATTTATTTACTGCATTTATTGACCGCCGCTCTCAGCCCTAGGGCGACTCGCGGCGGTGCACAACATATAAAAACAGTTTACAAAAGGGCAAAACAGGAAATCAATACAACAATAATACACTATAATCTAGTTACACTAAATAATCCGCTCCGACACATCATAGAATCATAACCAATATCGTAATCCGTATTCCGTTCCAGTTGTCAATTACCAGTTGCCGTAGCAATTATATCCCAAAATATCAAGGCATAAAATCCTACATGATCTGAGTGTGGACTCAAATAACCAAGTTCAAAGCAGATATTGTGGGATTTTCTGCCATGATATTCTGTAAGAGCCCTGGGTTATCTGAACCCATCCTGCCATATATTCCAGTTCAACGCAAATAATGCGGAATTTTATTCAACTATGGAAGGGGCCTGAGAGGAGACATGATGGCCATGTATAATAAATATGTGAGAGGAAGTCCCAGGGAGGAGGGAGCAGGTTTGTTTTCTGCTGCCTTTCCACACAGCCCTATATCCCAGAATATCAAGGCAAAAGATCCCACATTATCTGCTTTGAACTGGGTTATCTGAGTCCACACTCAGATAATGTGGGATTTCCTGCCTTGGTATTCTGGGCTATAGGGCTGTGTGCAAGGGCCCTAGGACGTGTAAACAATGGCTTCAAGCTACAGGAAAGGAGATTCCACCTGAACATTAGGAAGAACTTCCTTACTGTGAGAGCTGTTCAAGAGTGGAACTCTCTGCCCCGGAGTGTCGCGGAGGCTTCTTCTTTGGAGGTTTTTGAAGATGCTGGATAGCCATCTGTCGGGGGTGCTTTGAATGCGATTTTCCTGCTTCTCAGCAGAGGGTTAGACTGGATAGCCCATGAGGTCTCTTCCAACTCTATGATTCTATGGTAGAATTGAGGCAATTTGGCACCACTTTAATTTAACTGCCTTGCCTCAATGCTATTGAATTGCGTAACCCGAGAGCTGTGGTTTAATTGACTATTTTTCCATTTAAGAATGGAGCACGTGCCCAGGGCCCTCTCAGCCACGTGGAAAAGCACTTGCTTCCGGGGGGCGGGCCTTCCAGCATTAGCACCGCCCATATTCCCCGCGCTGAGCCTCTCACCAATCCCGGAAGCCCTCGCGGTGCTATACTGTTGCTAGAGCCCGCCTTTTCCGGTGTTTTGCCATGGTACTTCCGTCGCTGGGGCTAGCGCGGCCTAGGCTCGCTCGTGCAGTTGCCGCCGCCCACTCCTTCGGGCTCCGCACGAGCCGGAGTTGTGGGCGCGTCGCTATGGCGAAGAGCAAGTTCGAATACGTGCGGGATTTCGAAGCCAACGACACGTGTTTGCCCAACTGCTGGGTCGTGGTCCGGTTGGACGGGCGCGGCTTCCATCGGTAAGGCCCGCTGCCCTCGTTGGCGGCGAGGAGAACGGCTGAAAGGCTTGGTTGCCGTGGGCGACCGCTCAGCCAATGAGAGTGAAAGGGGGAGGGCTCGACGCTGTGATTGGTCCAGAGGTCGCAGCGCCAGTTCAGGCTGTTGGAATTGGACTTCAGTTCCCAGAATTCCTCCCAGTTGGTTAAACACGCTCTGGATTATGGGAATTGAAGTTCCAAGCGTCTTGAAGACAAAAGTTGGGAAACAAGACACCTTGGAGATTGAAATTATAAAAAGATTTATTGAGACCAGTCGTCGTAGCATTTACTCAATAAAATTTAGTAAATTTATAATAACATTAAAAATACATCCTAATTGAAAAAAAATGAACCTGGTGTGCTAGGATCAATTTATTAATATTCAGCTATGTTTTTTGTCAAAAACAAATTAAAAACGTAGTCTTACAATTCAGAAAGAATCTGAATTAGACTTCATAGGTGTCACGTATTTATAGTATCGTATTGTAAACAAGTCATTACACATGTGTATTTCTGCTAATGCATGCTGGACTTCCTGATACTCACTTGTTGCGGTTTTTCTAAATGTTTTTCTTTATGTTTTCATTGGCCCCTTATTTTTATTCACTGTGCCCACTTTTGGAAGCACTGTTAAAAGATCCTTAATACTCCTTCCTAGTAGAGCTGGCTGATTGGTTAACTTGAAATCCAGAATACAGTCTTTTTACAAATTTAGTGTGAAAGGTGGTCATGGCTCTAAACTCTTTCTCCAACTTGATTGTTATATGTTGCATCCTGAAGGGAAAGAAGTATGTGGCACTACTTATTGTGTGTCTTTACAGTTCAAGATGTTATACCTTTGAAGCATCTTAAACTGTGACAGTACTTTGATTTGTGTTTACTTAGAACTACTGTTAATCTAGCCCAGTCCTGTATGCTTCATACCCAGCCCAGAGTTTCAGACAGCGATTCTTTCCTAGTTCTGCCTGCCTAGAAATCCCTGGTATTCTCAGGTGAAGCTGAAACAGCCCTTGCTTTACTTAAGGTTGTGAAATCAGACTAGCTGGTATGATCATGATGGTATAGTGGTATATCATAGATTGGAGTTTCTTGAAATAATAAAATGAGTTAAACACTTATTGAGAATTAGGAAATTTGACAAATTCAGCTTATTTTTTTTAATAATTTGAAGCTTTGCTGAACAGCATGATTTTAAGAAGCCCAATGATGATCGTGCCCTTCAGCTGATGAACAAGTGTGCCCAGACAGTGATGCAAGAACTGGAAGATATTGTCATTGCTTATGGACAAAGTGACGAATTCAGCTTTGTTTTCAAAAAGAAGAGCAATTGGTTTAAAAGAAGAGCAAGGTAACTCGTCTTAGAGGTTTATTTTAGTCCTACCCCTTCTCAATATGCTCCATTTCGCACATTTTTGTGTGTCTGTGTTAAAACTACTTTTAAAATATTTTAATTCATGAATGTATGGTAGGTAACTTCATACTTCTGGATCCTTGACTGTGGTTATAATCCAATCCTTGCCTTTATATAGTTTTTAAGCAACTGATTTTGAAGTGGAAATAACTGATTTTAATGTTTGTGTATATTTATGGTTTTATGTCCCGGCATTGAATGTTTGTCATATATATGTTGCTCTCCACCCTGAGTACCCTGCAGGGTGAGAAGGGCAGAATATAACTGTTTCAAATAAATAAATAAATAAATATGTGTCACATAACTTTCTCTTTCTTCTTTTCTGTTGACAAGTAAGTTCATGACTCATGTGGCCTCCCAGTTTGCCTCGAGCTACGTTTTCTATTGGAAAGATTACTTTAAGGACCAGCCTCTTTTGTATCCACCAGGATTTGATGGGCGTGTTGTTCTGTATCCTAGTGACCAGAATCTGAAGGACTATCTCAGTTGGCGGCAAGCTGATTGTAAGCAATTCCTTTACATCCTTTGCACAATCAGGAGGGGTTTTTGTATGTGAAAAATGATAATCATCAAGATACTTGTGTACTCTGGATAAATGGGACCTCCTCATTTCTCACCTAAGATATACTGAGTTCTTTCACAATTTTTTAGTCCTTATAATTATAGAGGTTAGAGACATGTGGGTGCAGGATATCTGTGAAACTGGAAAAATGTGAATAAACACTTTATCTGAGAGAATATTTATTATTTACAACATTTCTACCCCACACTTCTCAACCCCCGAGGGGGGACTCAGAGCAGCTAACACTGGCAACAATTCGATGCCACAATATCACACTGTAACAACAATATCAAACCATAAATACATGATAGATTAAAAACAATAAAATTAGCTCATATAGCCGTTTCCATTATTATAACAATCATATGGTCCAGCAGATAAATATTTGGTTTATGTGGCTGATAGTCTAAATAAGCTGTCTTTCCTTTCTTCATTTTAATCAACTCCACAAAATCAAAATCAAACAAGGAGGGCCAAGTATCCATTTCTGCAGTAAGGTGTGATATGATACTGTACCCTGGAGTAGCATGCTTTAACAAAGGTGTATCCCCTCTCATGATGTACTTCTGGATCATAGTACTGTTCTTCTGCAACGAACAGCAGTGGAGATCCTTCTGTGACTTGAGATAAAACATGTAATTGAAAGATATATCTACTTTATAAATACATTGTAGAAATGAATGTAGGTAGGTTACTGATACTGAGATTTAAAATGTTGATAAATATAGTAATGTGCTTCAAAAATATACTGATATTTCTATGAACCAGTTATTACAATAACTGATGTTTTAAAAATGTGCTTGTTTGATTTATTTGCCTGTGTGTTGTTTAACAATTTTTTTTCATTTGGCAGGTCATATAAATAATCTGTACAATACAGTATTTTGGAGTCTTGTTCAGAGAAGTGGCTTGACACCCGTAGAGGCACAAAAAAGATTACAGGTAGATTACTCACTTCTGACTGTCCCATCCCAATAAGTATTTTGTCTTTTGAATATGCAAAGGGATCCTGTAGCACCTTTGAAGCTGAGGTAACAAAGTTGGTAGCATAAGCTTTTGTAGACTTAATTCAACATGCTTATGCATCTGAGGAAATAAACTTCGTTTACGAAAGCTTGTGCTATTATTTTTGTTCTCTCAGGCTGTATTCACACTACAGAATCATCACATTTTGACACCATATTGCCATGAATCAGTGGTATGGAATTCTGGGATTTAATAGTTTTGTAAGATATATACCTTTCTCTGAGAGCTCTAGTATCAAAACAAACTACAAATCCCAGGATTCCACAGGATGGCACTGTGGTAGTTAAAGTGGTATCAAGTTGTTATGATTTTGCATTGTGGGTGACAAGTCTCTATGGTGCTGCAAGAGTCCTTTGTATACTGATATTCCAGTCAAATATGGCTCTGTCTTTGAATTATTGTGCTATGAGTGATGTGTTATGCCAGTAGCCTGTGTCATCCTGTGGTACTGTTCTTTAACATATACTATTATAATATAACAACAAAGCTGTTGTTTTTCCTAAAATTATGAATATAATGAACCAAGCACAACATGTACAATACAATGCTAACCAGTCTATTAAACAAGTCTAGAAGGATGGTAATGTTCCTAATTCGTCCTCTTAGTACTTGCAGTATCTGGATTGATCTGATTGTGACAACCTTGTTGCTAGTCTACATAAAGTTATCCACCAGAGGAACCTGTTTTAAAAGGAAATAAAACAGTAAAAAGGACATAACTAAATAGTTTGGAGGCTGGGTAATCCATTAGGCAGGTGGAGGAGAATGGCTTACCAAATGCTTCTATTGCCAGTGCACTTGACTAGTTCGTTTGCCATGGAAGAGGCTGACTGCAGAGTCTTTTGTGTCTGCAGTCAATACAGAAGCCAAATGAGCTGAAAAGGGCTCCTACTAAGTAAGGTCTCCTGTGGTAATGGGTTGTACTTCTGTAGTGGCTGTAAAAGAATGGGCTTCATTTCCTCCCTGGCTAATAAGAATAACAGAGGAAGGAGACCATAAGCTTTGTCCTTTTGCCAGTTGGTTTCCTTTCACTGTGGTAGGATGTATATCCAGTACAGAAACAGAACAGGTTGAAGGTCCAAATGTATAGAAGAAAGCATGGCCCATTCCATCAGGATCCATTTGCTACACAACCAGCATAGAAACAGTTCTATTTGAACCTGCTCCTGCTGCAAAAACCTAACTGAAGTCCATATGTATATGGGAGACAGAAGTCCCTTATTCTGCTCCCAACAAGAAAACCGATGGGCTGACAAAGTAACTCATTTATCCTTTGCATCAGGCACAGAAGAAGGGGTTCATGTCCTCTGAGCTAGGATCGAAGCTGAGCAACCTTGTAATAGGAGCAAATCATGCAGACCATCCTCCCCATACCTGCTGTCTACTTGACTGAAAGGAGTTCTGTGCATTCACTTCTGAGGAATTCCTAATTTCTTGCTGTGATAAAGGCAAGACTGCACTTCGGCTGATTAGCAGTAAGATTGATGCATGGCACTGCTCATGTCGAGCTTTTAAAACTGGAAGAATATATTGCATAAGAGAATAAGAGTGAAAGTCGCTAACTAGTGAAGGTTGTGAGAGGACAGAGGGAGAGGTGTTTACAAGTCTATAGTATACTTTCAGTTTTATAAATATTGTGCATTGATCTCTTAACACAGTACCAACTACTTTATTTTATTTGTCCAATGTAGCACAGAAATTGGAAAGAGAGATTTTCAGATGCCTGTAGTACATAAAGCTTTGAGATAATGGAAACCCTTGAGCAACTTTGGAAGCTCATACTTAAAGCATGTCTGACCAAAGTAGGTCTCATTGTAAATCAGTAAAATGCTGATTGGTTATTTCCATACCAATCAGCATGTTACTGCAGGTCTGGCATTTCTTATTTAGAATTCTGTAATCCAGAATCCCAAGTTGTCCATGGGGTGGCTGAGATAATGAAACATTTGCTTTCTGGTGGTTCAGTGTACACAACATGTCTTTCATAAACAAAATTATTACAAATATTCCATTATATTACCATCAGGCTATGCATATAAGGTGTTTGAAACATTAATGTATTTCATATTTAGATTTGGGTTCTATTTCCAAAATGTCACATATATGTATGTATTTATTTATTTACTATATTTCTATCCCACCTTATCTCATTCTAAGGGGGCAACTCGGAGCGGTTTACAGCTTGGCACAATTCGATGCCACATTGAACATAAACATAACAAGTTATAAATACATTAAACAGTAAATCATTAAACATAAAACAATCACATATAAATACAATTAAAGCAGCAATTAAAACAACCACATAGTCCATATGTATATATGTGCAAATAAGGTATCCCAAAATATGAAATCCAAAACCGTTCTGGTCCCAAGCATTTTGGAAAAGGGATATTAAACTGATATTATTTTCAATTCACTATCTTTTAAAGTTGCTAAAGCTATTTTTAATAAAAGCCTGCATTATTTAAAACAAATAAATGTAATGAGAGCAAAACAGGAAGAGTATCAGCAAAACACATCAACTCTTCATCATCAAAACTACATACACAAATAAAGCTTAACTGTGTGTCTAAACCAAAATGCCAGAAAAGAGGGACAGTGTTGAATTTGCATGGGCAAAGCATATGTTTAAGAACCTAGTGCATTCCTTTCTATTTTCAAATGCAAGTAAAATTCATTCATTGCATGTAGTAAAATGATCAAGACTAGTAATATCCTCATGTGACAGGATTTGAAGAATGTTTTTCCTATAAATAAAATGATCCTCTTCTTTCAAAAATTATTTTTAGGGAACGCTTGCAGGTGACAAGAATGAGATTTTATTTTCACAATTCAATATTAATTACAACAACGAACCCTTGATGTATCGGAAAGGAACTGTTCTGGTGTGGCAGAAGGTAAATTGTTTTGGCATATACCTGTTTATGTAAACAGTCAGTGTGGCAACTACAGTAGAGTCTTGCTTATCCGACATAAACGGGCCGGCAGAATGTTTGATAAGTGAAAATGTTGAATAATAAGGAGGGATTAAGAAAAAGCCTATTAAACATCAAATTACATTATGATTTTACAAATTAAGCACCAAAACATCATGTTTTACAACAAATCGACAGAAAAAACAGTTCGATACACAGTAATGTTACATAGTAATTACTGTATTTACGAATGTAGCACCAAAACATCGCAATGTATTGAAACATCTGTGGATCCTGGCAGGAGGCAGACTGAGTTGGATAATACAGAATGTTGGATGAGCGAAGGTTAGATAAGCAAGACTCTACTATGGAAGCAGTTAAAATATTCTTTGAGAATTAAGAAATTTTTGACAATTCCATGTGTGTGCTGAGATTTCATGTGTAGTTTCAGTAAATTAATAATAATTAATACTGTAAGCATTGTTTATGAGGAGCTGCCTTCTACTGAATAACATTTTGATCTTGAAGCAAAAAGTAGCAAGATGTCCATATTTGTTTATGATATTCTAAGTTCATTCTTTTCTCCGCTAGTTTAGAAAGCAGTCCCATTGAAGTCTGCTAAAATTACTATGTTATGTAACTATTCAATTTATGGCAAGCAATCTCAGTATTGACTAAAATTCTGTAGTTAGTTTGACTGTAAAAAACCATACCTAAAGTTTGATGCCTGCATTTGTTCACTTGGCTAAGTAGATCAATGCATGTTTGTAAATAAAAGTAAAAGAAAAGTGATGTCTTCAGCCTATCCTACTTGGTAGATCTTCATGGGCATACATATAATACAAATTTAATGATAGCAAATCCATTGTTGCTCATTTTAGGATGGTTGCTTATTAGTGTAGAGTTTAATTGGTTTTAATAAATATGTAATGTCTTCTCGCAAGTAGTCCACACTGAATTCAATGGCCCTTAATCCCAGGTAAATGAGTAGAGATTGCAGAGTTTGAATCAAAGAATTGGGAGAAGCCACAAGAACCATCTAGTCTAACTTTTAATGCAGAAATACAGAACTAAAGCACTGTTTACAGGTGGCCACTAAACAGCTTTCTAAAAACCTCTGCAGAAAGAGAGCCCATCATCCAGCAGTGCACCATTTTCCATTCTTGAACAGCTCTTATAGCGAAGTATATTCTTCATTAAAAATGTCATCAAACATGTTTGAAGAATCACTTACTTCAGATCTTGATAAAACATGGCCTGCAGGTCTCAGGCTTCCCCAGAGTTGTTTTTGTGGCCTTTGGGATTTCTCAGGTTTCATTTTTAATGTCTCTAAGGGGCACAGTAAGTACTTTTGTCCTGTTGCTGCTCCCTTCCAGTTATTTAAGGCTCACGAGTGGCCTTTTTTTCAAAGAGGTATACAAGAATAGATATATTCAGTGAGTTATTTTCTTTTTTAAAAGTTTCACCAGGTGTTAAAATGGTGCTACACGCTGAGTACTCATTTGGTATTATATTTTGCGATAACTACCATTAAAGTATAAAGTTAACAAAGTGTGAGAGCTGTTCAGCAGTGGAACTCTCTGCCCTGGAATGTGGTGGAGGCTTCTTCTTTGGAAGCTTTTAAACAGAGGCTGGATCGCCATCTGTCAAGGGTGCTTTGAATGCAATATTCCTGCTTCTTGGCAGGGGGTTGGACTGGGTGGCCCATGAGGTCTCTTCCAACTCTATGATTCTATGAAGTAGGAATGCTTGTGTACTAGAGAGCATTATGCTTTGAGCATAGACACATTCTAGTTCCAGATGTGAAACCTAGAAGGAACTGTAAACAAGTTTGACTTAGGGTTGCTAGTATCAGATGGCTGATGCAGTCAGATTGAAAACTGATAAGAACCACTAAACTGCAAATATTATGTCACAGAGGAAAAATATGTAAGAATTTTGATCTGATTGGATGAGGAAAGTTGTAAATAAACAAATCAACATTGTTTGTGGAAGTGAAGGTCTCTGGTCTCATCAGATTGGACAGATAGAGGCTATGGAGGCAGATTGTCTCAGGAGAGAAAGAATTCATCCTGCCTATAAGTGTCAGCCTCCCAAATATAAGATAGTCATTCCTAACACTGTTCCTAGCTGCTAAGAGCCAGAGAAATTTGATATATAAGCTCTAGTAATGAATATATATAACTATCTTGATAGATGGATGCCCATAGATGTAATGGATACTGTAATAATCAGATTACAGTGTGGAAGATTATTATCATCCTTGGATGCTTGATTGTTTCCTCTGCATATGGTATATGGGTTAGAATACCTGTAGTTTACCTGTCTGAACGCATCTCCCTCTATGAGCCACCACAGAGACTAAGATCCTCTGAGGAGGCCCTGCTCTCGGTCCCACCACCATCACAGGCGCGATTGGCGGGGACGAGAGAGAGGGCCTTCTCAGTGATTGCCCCTCAGCTATGGAACTCCCTCCCTGGTGAAAGCAGATCAGCCCCCTCCCTCCTGTTCTTAACAAAGATGGTAAAAATTTGGCTGTGGGACCAAGCCTTAGGGACAGTGCAATAAGATAATAATTAGGAAATCCTACCCTGTGGACCAGATTCTATATGGCTGCTTTGAGATGGTTTTAACAATTGATTTTAAAGTAGATGCAACTGATTTTAATGTGTGTATATATTTATAGTTTGTTTTATGTGCCTGCATTGAACGTTTGCCGTATATATGTTGTGATCCGCCATGAGTCCCCTTCGTGATGAGAAGAGCGGAATATAAATGCTTTAAATAAATAATAATAAATATTGTATGAAGTCATACCTCATAATGAATATAATGCACCTAGAGAAAACAATTTTCTCCATAAGTAGAGTGTATATTTGCATATATATTACTGTTTATAATAAAATAGCCTAAAATAATACAGAGAACCTGCTCATTCTCCCATATTAGTCACCCAAGATTCCAAGACTTAAGAATACTTGAGCGGAGTGTGGATGTTAACTCTTTATGTTTGCACTTTACCATTGATCTTGAGTTGGAAGCTCATGCAACCAAAGGTGATGAAATGGATCTCCAAAGAGATACAGAGTGTATTGTCAAAGGCTTTCATGGACGGAATCACTGCGTTGTTGTGTATTTTCCAGACTGTATGGCCATGTTCCAGAAGGTTATCTTCAGAGGTTATGAGGTCTGAGACTTCACAAGCCATAGATGCAGCTGAAATGTCAGGAGGGAATGCTTCTGGAACATGGCCATACACACAACAACCCAGATACAGAGTAGATGATACACAACAAAGAACCCTTTAAAAGTAGCAATTTTCTTATATCCCCTAAAAGGGCTTTTGGAGGCAAAATCTACAGACAGGTTGTGGTGGTGGGATACAACCCTTCAGGAGCTCCTCATGCACCATGCTTTTATTTATTAAATGTCTTAATACTGAGGTTGTAACTGTTATTTACAGAGCAGAACACCATATTGAAACAATGGGATTTACAAAAGTTAGGCATGTGTAACTTCCTGGAGTCTATTACATTCCTTTTCCCCAAAATTTGAATGTAAAAAACGAAGGGACACAGTTATACTGAAAGTGCCTATTACACCACTTAACATGCGAAGAAATAATTCAAATTATTTGGGGGAGCACGGCAACCCCTCCAGTGAGGGGAGGAGGGATTGGAGAACAATGCTCTGAAACTCACTTTGTCAAATCACATTTTGTCAGTGGTGACTACCAAGCCATGCTCATTTCAGTCCTTGGAGCTAACATTAGATTTAGCTGTTTAAGAATGAATTCTTAACAGTATTGTAATAAAAAAAAAATCTCGGTTCTGAAATTACATATTAATTTCATTCTCATGTTTTTAGGTGAATCACATCATTAGAAAAAAAATACAAATTCCAAATGAATCAGAAGAGAAGGAAATTGAAGTGACCCGAACAAGGAGTACAACAATTCCTTTGCACTGTGACATCATTGGGGACCAGTTTTGGGACCAGTATCCTGAAATCCTATTGGAAGATAGTTGACCTTCTCCATGGATTCTAGTGGGAAATACTCTCTGTGGGTTTCATTGCAAAGACATCTGAGAGATCAAAAAATGATTGGCTCAGCATGGATGTGCTTAAGTGCTTGCAGTTGGGTAGAGAAAAAAAGAAGTCAAACTATCTTGGGTCCACATAAATATTAACAGAATATTGTAATGTATGGGTTTTACCATTACAGTTATGAGGTGCCTTGTAATAATATCTTCAACAAATTTTATGGCAGAAAAAGAATGCCTTTAATTTAAGTCCTGGCCCTCAAAGGCACTCTACTGGTGCAAGTCCCATGAGAGGTTAAGCTGCCCATTTAAAACTCTAGAAACATTTAAGCTCCTGCTTCAAATTAAGTTCAATCATCAGGGAGCCGAGTTAACAAATTATCCTAGTTGCTAATGTCTCTGGATTATATGAGTGATAAACAAAATACCCTAGCAAGGAACTGAAACTAATTAGGAAGTTTTCTCTCAAGTGTAAATTAGTTCTGGCCTTTTTGAAAGTATGGAAACATAATTTCCCTCTGTAATCGTACATTTATTGTTTGGACTCTCTCCTTGCTGTTTTACTGATTATTAGAGAAGGTCTCAGGTGGCCAGACTGGAATAATAAAGTTATTGTATAAGGGAGATATCACAGCAGGGTATGTTTGTAGGTCATGGTCTCATTTTACTACTGCCTGGGAAACTATCCAAATCCTGCTGTTGAGAGGACTGTGGCAACTATTGTAGAGAAAGTTCTTTCCTTATGGTGTGGAGTTCAACAAGAGTTTGCGTTGCTCTTCGGCCTTTTCTTTTGTCAAAGCCACAAAGTATCAAGACCTTGTCCAAAACGGGAAATGGAACAACATGGATCAATTGTAAGATTTTACAAGGACACTTAACCATACGTAACGTGGGCTGGAAGATTATGATAAGAGGAAGCTTTTATGCAGGCTAATGATGATCTCTTGGTCCTCTCTACTGGTGTTTTCCCTTTGACTTTCTGTTTAAATGTGACAAGATTTGGAGCAAAAGGCATTACAGCATCATTCATTGCAGCCTGTTTGAAAAAGATAACTAATAAAGCTACTTATCTTACATGGTTATCTGTAATGTAGAAGCCACATACAGTTAAATCTGCTGTTATCTTCAGGCCAAGACGGTTAAAAAAATCAAGTGGGGAAAGTAAAGTGACAGACCTAATTTTAACGAAGGGTGCTTTGCATTTTTAAATGGGGAAACAGGCTTTAGTACTTTTTTTCTTTTTGTCCCTGTCAGTTTCATGGCAATGGTGAATGGAATTGAATGTTATAGTCCTTTGAACACCTCAAGGCAGAATACAGATACTTGCTAGCATTGTCTCTTATGAGTTCTCAACTGAGGTTTTGCAGCATTTTTAAAAAACAGTCATGTTGTAGAACTCCATCATTCAGGTAGTCTGCATTCAACTGCTGGTCTAGTTGATTTATGTTGGAATTGAAGAGAAGAGTCATCTTGACCTTCAGACAGAAAAATGCCTTAAGCTGGCACTGATTAAACCTTAGGTTGCCTTCTGTATTTCTGATGCCAGACACTGATTCATAATTTGGAACAGTTTCTCTTGGTTTGAATGTTGAGTGCATATTGGCTACTCTGAATTCCCTCATGGTTTTATGTTAAACCTAAGCACCATATTATTACCCATTGGATCCACATTCCCAGTTCAGTATTTTCTGATGCTTTGGACTTTTTAACTCCCATCAGCTCCACCAAGAATGGTCGAGAATTGGGCAAAAATCATGGGAGATGTCCAACACATCTGGGTGTCACCAAGTTGGAGAAAACTGATGAGGATATTAAACAGAAAGAATAGAAGCAGCTGTAACAGGCATGGGCAAACTTCGGCCCTCCAGGTGTTTTGGACTTCAACTCCCGTGATTCCTAACAGCAGTAGGCTGTTAGGAATTGCGGGAGTTGAAGTCCAAAACACCTGGGGGGCTGAAGTTTACCCATGCCCAAGCTATAAGATACTGGCTCTTGGCTCATCAGTCCACAAAGGTAAGGTACTCAGGCTGATTGATAATGCAAGCCAGAGAGAAGCTTGTGCTACCACTCACAAGCAGAGAAATAATGTTGCTTTCCTAAGGCCCTTCCACACTGTTCCTATATCCCAGGGTCTGATTCTGGCAGTGGAGACTCGTGTAATCTAGTAATCCCTGAAGTGTATCAGAAGCAGATCTGGATTGCATCAAGATTGGACAGGGTACACTCCAAGGCACAGGATACCTGAGTTCCCAGTAGTTTGTACTGTGAGGCCACAGCTGCTTTTGGGACAATTCAGAGTTGTTTTGTCACTCCTAATCTGGGGTGTGGGATTCCTGTTGTTTTGCAGTAGGGTTCCTAAAACAGCATTTAAAAGTTCACTAGCCACAGTGTGTTTCAACCACATCCATTGGAAGAAAGAAGATGTCAGATTGTGTGCCTGTATGGGAGTCTGGGGGTCACACTGGATCTCACTCCTTTGGCTGCATAACTCGCATTGATCCAGCGGATTGCTATTATCTGTGAGGATTGCAAAGTAATGTGGCTGTTTCAAGGATATGTTTACAATGTCTCACTATCGCCTCTTGTAGGCATGTGATTTCTCCTTCTGCTTTCCTAGTTGCGGAGGATGTCTCATAAAAGTCAAGCCGGTGACATTTACTACATTCCACTCTGTACAGAATCCCTGGCTTGCAAGCGGGTAAACATGACGACACCCTCTCAAATCAGTCATGGAAACTGTTTACATAACAGGCTCAAAAGTCTGCTGCATGTACAACCTGAGCTGTGAAGTATATAAATGTGTACCTTTCTTACACCCCTGCATAACACTAATAGGAGTTGAGTATCCCTTGGGACCAGAAATGTTTGAGGTTTCCGAACAATGTACATAATGAGAATCTTAGGGACTAAACATGAAATACATTTATGTTTCATATACATCTACATATAAAGGTAAAGATTTCCCCTTGACATTAAGTCTAGTGTCTGACTCTGGAGGTTGGTGCTCATCTCCATTTCTAAGCCAAAGAGCTGCCGTTGTCTGTAGACACCTCCAAGATCATGTGGCCAGCATGATGGCATGGAGCGCTGTTACCTTCCTGGAGAAGTGGTACCTATTGATCTACTTAAACTTGTATATTTTGGAATTGCTAAATTGGCTGATGCTGGGGTTAACAGTGGGAACTCGCCCCGCATCCCGGATTCAAACCACCGATCTTTTGGCCAGCAAGTGGTTTAATCCGCTGCATCACCAGAGGTCTAGATATAGCTAGGGGTTATTTTATATTTTATTTTAAATCATTTTGTTTAGAAAGCAAAGGTGCTCACTCTCTACCATCTGTGGGGACAATTTGAGAGTACTGTATATACTCGAGTATAAGCCTAGTTTTTCAGCCCCTTTTTTAGGCTGAAAAAGCCCCCCTCGGCTTATACTTGAGTCAAGGTTATTTATTATTTTACTCTCATTATTATTACATTTACACATAATATTGATAATATTTAATATTAATATTATTTTATTATTGCATTTATTATTTTACTCTATTATTGGAAGATATGTAAACACATGTACATTGAAGGTTAGAATAATGGTTTTTGTCAGAGTTGGACAGTCTTATCTTACAGTTTTATGTAAATATTAATAAACATTTAACCTACTGATGCTTCAATTAATATAATTTTATTGGTATCTATTTTTATTTTGAAATTGACCAGTAGCTGCTGCATGTCCCACCCTCGGCTTATACTCGAATCAATACGTTTTCCCGGTTTTTAGTGGTAAAATTAGGTGCCTCAGCTTATATTCGGGTCGGCTTATACTTGAGTATATATGGTATTTCGGATCTCCAGATAAAGCAGGCCTGGGCAAACTTGGACCCTTCAGGTGTTTTGGACTCCCGCAATTCCTAACAGCCTCGGGTCCTTTCCTTTCCCCACCTTAGCTGCTTAAGCGGCTGAAGGGGAAAAGTAAGCATCCTGGGGCTGTTAGGAATTGCAGGAGTTGAAGTCCTAAACACTTAGGAGGGCAAACGTTTGCCTGGCTGAGGGGAAAAGGAAGGGCCTGAGTCTGTTAGGGATTGCGGGAGTTGAAGTCTAAAACACCTGGAGGGCCCAAGTTTGCACAGCTGAGAGGGAAAAGGAAGGGTCTGAGTCTGTTAGGGATTGCGGGAATTGAAGTCCAAAACACCTGGAGGGCCCATGTTTCCCTGGCTAGGGAGGGAAAGGAAAGGGCTTGAGGTTGTTAGGGATGGCGGGAGCTGAAGTCCACGTTTGTCAGGCTGAGGGGGGAAAGGAAGGGCCTGAGGCTGTTAGGGATTGTGGGAATTGAAGTCCAAAACTCCTGGAGGGCCCAAGTTTGCCCAGGCCTGAGATAAAGGGTTGTTGTCCTGTAGTAACAAACAAAGGCAGATCTTCCATATAAACAAGGCCTCTCTGTGGGAGAGCCAGATGGTTCCACCAGAAAGTTGTCAATCCCCGCGTCAGGCCCAGATCCCCACTCCTCCTCCTCCTCTAAAGAAGAAGAAGAGCAGAGATCCCATTCCTGGCCCCTTTGTGCGTAGTGTGCATAGAAGAAAAAACGCGGTGGCATTTATTTAAAACAGTGGGAGGAGAGATGTCATGTTAGAAGCGGCGTTGACAAGTGCGTGGGCTTTACACTTTCCAGAGCGCTTTTCCTCATGGTTTTGCCCCCCTCCCCGACTTTCCATTTCTATTCTGAGCGTGGAAGCGCCATTTTTTAAACCAGGCACAACGTTCCAAGCCAGCCAAGGCGTGTAGTTGTCCTTTTTTATTCCTGTCAGGGGCGAGACTAAATTGTGGGTCTGGAGGTGACCTTGGAAATGGATGATTCTGGGAGACTGAGGTGTTGAGAGAGAGAGAGGAGGGGGAGCCTGGGCCGGAAAGTGGCGGGAGGGGAGTTGGGCCGTGGCGCCCGCCCGTAGTGAGTTACTCCTTGGCTTGGAGGGAGCAGCATGGGAGCTGGAGGCGCTCAATCCGTCGGCTGACTCCAGGATCCAGGGACCGGGAAGGCGCGAAAGGAGAGCCAGGCCTTGGCTGGACACAACGTGCTTAATGTGAGAGGGACTGGGCCCTCCTGGCAGGGCTTGAGGCGCGGAAAGACAGAAAGAAGGGAGGGAGAGCGGGAAAGGAAGGAAGGACGGAGTCATGGAGGAGAAGAGGCCCGGGCGCCGTAGTAGCCGTCGCCGCCGCTCCCGGGAGCGCTCCCCGAGCCCGGCCCGCTTGGACGTGGCCTCCCCGCGCTTCGACCCGCTCCTGGCGCTCTATTCTCCGCGGACGCCGCTGCCCTTCCCGGCCGCGCCCTGCTTCAACAACCTAGCCGAGTACGAGAGCTTCCAGCGCGGCCGGGGCCCGCAGGCCGGAGAAGCCGGGCGCAGCAGTAGCCGCAGCAGCCGCCGCCGGAAGGGCCGAGCCGGGCGGGCCGCCTCCGCCCCTCCAGACCCCGCGCGGATCCAGCGGCTCCGGAGCCTCATGGTGGTGGAGCAGGCCGCGCCCGAGGAGGCCGGGAGGAGCCGGGCCCGGGGCAAGAAGGCGCCGCGGAACGTCCTCACCCGGATGCCCCGTAAGGCGCCATCAAGCGGGCAGGCAGGGAGGGAGGGAAGGAGGGAAAGAGGCCCGCCTCGAGGGAGAGGAAAGGCGGCGGGCAGGGTTTGCCCCTGGCCTTGGGGTGTCCCTCACTCGGGATGCTTGCCATACAAAGTCTCCAAAGCCGCCCTACAGAGGGAGAATGGAAGCTAAATCAGGCATGGGCCAACTTGGGCCTTCCTCCAGGTGTTTTGGACTTCAACTCCTACAATTCCTAACAGCCGGTAGGCTGTTAGGAATTGAGGGAGTTGAAGTCCAAAACACCTGGAGGCAGGCCCAAGTTGGCCCATGCCTGAATTAAATGTACCTTCATTTACTTCATTTACAAAATATTCATTACAAACTATTTTTATTTGCTGTATATCTAAAAGTATACAAATATACAGCCATCTAAAATATATAATATAACACATAATGTGAGTTTGTTATTTTTTCCCTATGTATTTAGTGCCACAGCAGGTTAAACCCCAGAGCTGCTGAAATTGCTGACTGAAAGGTTGGTGGCTGAAGTCCAGGGAGCAGGGTGAGCTCCCGCTGTTAGGCCCAGCTTCTGCCAACCTAGCAGTTCGAAAACATGCAAATGTCAGTAGATCAATAGGTACCACTTTTGCGTAAAGGTTACAGCGCTCCATGCAGTCATGCCAGTCACATGACCTTGGAGGTGTCTATGGACAACACCAGCTCTTTGGCTTAGAAATGGAAATGAGCATTACCCCCCCAGAGTCAGTGTCTAGACCAGTGGTTCTCAACCTGGGGTCCCCAGATGTTTTTGGCCTACAACTCCCAGAAATCCCAGCCAGTTTACCAGCTGTTAGGATTTCTGGGAGTTGAAGGCCAAAAACATCTGGGGACCCCAGGTTGAGAACCACTGGTCTAGACTAAGTGTCAGGGGAAACTTGTACCTTTACCTTTTATGTAGACTTTTGTGACAACCTGTACTTTTGATGTGTTGTTATTATTATTATTATTGATACGTCTTGGGGGATGGGACCATTTTAAAACTGGAATTCATTTGTGTTTCATTTACAGCTGAAACACATTGAAAGGAATTTTATACAGAATACAGGTTGAGCATCCTTAGCATCCTTTGCATCCTTGGATGGTGTGTTCCTTCATGGCAGAATAGGAATGGGCTGGATGGACCTTGCAGTCTCTTCCAACTCATAATTCTATGATTGATCCTTGGGGCTAGAAGTATTTTGGAGATATTATTATTATTATTATTATTATTATTATTATTATGGAGACATTTTAGGAAACATCTAATCTCTGACCATTTAATACACTTTAATACACAAACCAGCATTGAAGTGGTTCGCTGTACAGATTATTATATAGGAAATCCTGGAATCAGTCTGATGGTTGCGCAAACCACAGAGCACTGATGCGCATTAAGGACTTTCAGGTCATACATGCAGCAAACGTTCGTTGTCTGGCCACCCCAGCATCCAGCTGCATGAAATGGTCAGTGTAGATGGAGCTTTTGAGATGGGACCAAAGTCTAAACAAGATATTCATTTGTGTTTCTTATGCACCTAAGATGCCTAGCTGGAAATTAAATTTAGACAGAATACAAACTGAGCATCAAAGTATGCAGAAATCCTAAATTATCCAAATGGGTGAATAAGGGCGGTTCTATACAGCGACTTAAACCAAGTTAGGAAGTGAATGAAAGAGAACCAGTCTCTGGTGGAACAACTAAATGGTTGCCCCAGGAACTGGTTAGAGACTGGGATGGTGGCCACACTATCCACTGACTGCGAAACAGGAGCAAACCCAGAAACTACAGTATCAGTGACTAGATACGCATATCCATGTCTATTAGGAATCATCCCAGTTTTGAGCCCTACATGGGATATACTCTGGTCAACTGCACCAGATTTTCTGATTTAATCCGATATTTCTGGTGAGTTTTTTTAACACACTTCTTCAGACTTAATGTGTGCTTACAGCATACACTGGGGTTGTATGTTATGTGGACACCCCAATCTCAAGACAGCTTCAATGCTTAATAATAGTGCTTGTGTGGAATTGTCTTAAGATAGTGATATCTTTGTTTTCTGAGGGTTCAATATATACAGGCTTTGTTTCATGCACGAAATTATTTTTAATGTATAATTATGTCTATGCATTTCAGGTGTGTATTAAACATAAATGAGTTTCATGTTTAGACTACATATATAGGGATATGTTGTTGTTGTTCATTCATTCAGTCGTCTCTGACTCTTCGTGACCTCATGGACCAGCCCACGCCAGAGCTCACGAACTTCTTATTGCCATTAGAATAAAACTAAAGAGATCAGGGAAAATACACAGACCAGTTAGATATGATCTCACTAACATTCCTAGCGAATATACAGTGGAAGTGAAGAACAGATTTGAAGGACTAGATTTAGTAAACAGAGTCCCAGAAGAACTATGGACAGAAGTCTGCGACATTGTTCAGGAGGCGGCAACAAAGTACGTTCCAAAGAAAAAGAAAACCAAGAAGGCAAAATGGTTGTCTGCTGAGACACTGGAAGTAGCCCAAGAAAGGAGGAAAGCAAAAGGAAACAGTGATAAAGGGGAGATATGCCCAGTTAAATGCGCAATTCCAGAGGTTAGCCAGAAGAGATAAGGAACTATTTTTAAATAAGCAATGCATGGAAGTGGAGGAAGACAACAGAATAGGAAGGACAAGAGACCTCTTCCAGAAATTAGAAACATTGGAGGTAAATTTCAGGCAAAAATTGGTATGATAAGAAACAAAGATGGCAGGGACCTAACAGAAGCTGAAGAGATCAAGAGAAGGTGGCGAGACTATACAGAAGATCTGTATAGGAAGGATAATAATATTGAGGATAGTTTTGACGGTGTGGTGAAGGAATTAGAACCAGACATCCTGAGGAGTGAAGTTGAATGGGCCTTAAGAAGCATTGCTAACAACAAGGCAGCAGGAGATGACGGGATCCCAGCTGAACTGTTTAAAATCTTAAAAGATGATGCTGTCAAGGTGATGCATGCCATATGCCAGCAAATATGGAAAACACAAGAATGGCCATCAGACTGGAAAAAAGCAACTTATATCCCCATACCAAAAAAGGGAAATGCGAAAGACTGCTCAAACTTCCGTACAGTGGCCCTTATTTCACATGCCAGTAAGGTAATGCTCAAGATCCTGCAAGGAAGACTCCAGCAATACATGGAGAGAGAGTTGCCAGATGTTCAAGCTGGGTTTAGAAAAGGCAGAGGAACGAGAGACCAAATTGCCAATATCCGCTGGATAATGGAGAAAGGCAGGGAGTTTCAGAAAAACATCTACTTCTGCTTCATTGACTATTCTAAAGCCTTTGACTGTGTGGATCATAATAAATTGTGGCAAGTTCTTGGTGGGATGGGCATCCCAAGCCACCTTGTCTCTCTCCTGAGGAATCTGTACAAGGACCAAGTAGCAACAGTCAGAACTGACCACGGAACAAGATTGGGAAAGGCGTACGGCAAGGCTGCATACTCTCACCCAACCTTTTTAACTTGTATGCAGAACACATCATGCGATGTGCGGGGCTGGATGAATGCAAAGCTGGGGTGAAAATTGCTGGAAGAAACATTAACAACCTCAGATATGCAGATGACACCACTCTGATGGCCGAAAGCGAGGAGGAACTGAGGAGCCTTCTAATCAAGGTGAAAGAAGAAAGCGCAAAAGCCGGGTTGCAGCTAAACGTCAAAAAAACCAAGATTATGGCAACAAGAATGATTGACAACTGGAAAATAGAGGGAGAAACCGTGGAGGCCGTGACAGACTTTGTATTTCTAGGTGCAAAGATTACTGCAGATGCAGACTGTAGCCAGGAAATCAAGACGCTTACTTCTTGGGAGGAGAGCAATGTCCAATCTCGATAAAATAGTAAAGAGTAGAGACATCAGACTGGCAACAAAGATCCGCCTAGTCAAAGCCATGGTATTCCCTGTAGTAACCTACGGATGTGAGAGCTTGACCTTAGGGAAGGCTGAGCGAAGGAAGATCGATGCTTTTGAGCTGTGGTGTTGGAGGAAAGTTCTGAGAGTGCCTTGGACTGCGAGAAGATCCAACCAGTCCATCCTCCAGGAAATAAAGCCCAACTGCTCACTGGAGGGAAAGATATTAGAGACAAAGTTGAAGTACTTTGGCCACATCATGAGAAGACAGGAAAGCTTAGAGAAGACAATGATGCTGGGGGAAAATGGAATTTTATAATACTCCAGGTAAGCTGTTCATCATCCTTGAAGTGACTGGACTGACCTTGAGGGAGCTGGGGGTGGTAACGGCCGACAGGGAGCTCTGGCGTAGGCTGGTCCATGAGGTCACGAAGAGTCGGAGACGACTGAACGAATGAACAACAACTTAAATTCTGACTGCTGATCTAGCTGTTGCAGTTCTAGCAGCAACCCGTTCCACAGTCTTGGGGCGGCTGATGAGAAGGTCCTCTGGGTGACGGTTGCCAGTCGAGCTCTGGCAAGCTGGAGCACCCCCCCCCCCCCGAGGACCACAGTGTTAGGGGCAGATTATATGGGAGAAGGAGATCCTGTAGGTAACCTGGACCCGAACTCTGTCAATATGAACAGCTTATACTTTGGCCGGAAACCAATTGGCAAACAGTGGAGTTTTGATGTGTGCGCGTGTGTTAGGAGCAACTTGAGAAACTGTGAATCACTTCTGGTGTGAGAGTGACTAGGATAGGTATAATATGCTCACTCCTAGATGTTCCTGTAATCAATCTGGCTGCCGTATTTTGTTCTGAAGTTGGTACAAAGGTAGCCCAATCTAAAGTGCATTGCAGAAGTCCAATCTTGAGGTTACCAGCACAGGCAGTACCATCTTAGGGTCCTCCAAATCTAGGAAGGGGCACAGCTGGCATTATCAGATGAAGCTTGATAATAAGCACGCTTGATTGTTGCATCTATCTGGGCTGACATTTGGAGAGACAGATCCAGGAGCACTACCAAGCTGCAGACACA